TCTCTCTCTCTCTCTCTCTCTCTCTCTCTCTCTCCCTCTCCCTCTCTCTCTCTCTCCCCCCCTCCCTATCTATATCTTTGTGCATTCTCCTCTCACCCTCTTGAATCTCTCCTCTAGCCTTCCTTCCCTTTGTTATCCTGATTGGGCCTATAGCATTGTATGTTGGATCGCCTTGTGGAGAGAGGCTACGTTCCCACACCGCAGTTCGATTTGGCACTGCTTTCTTACTGTGCGCAATCTCTGCATGCATGCCCCTTCTGGCCCATTCGTAAACATACATTCTGTGAGCACGTTTCTCTCGCTCTCTGTAATAAGTGAGGGCCAGGTGGGTAGTTATAGATCCGTACATCTGGGCCCAAGGCCCTACTCTGTGCAAGCACGGATTCGAACTGGCGACCTCAGCCTCAAGTCTCCCAACCACTAGAGTCAGGACACGGTGTTCATAAGTGGAACCATACATGGTTCCGGTCGTGATATCCATCCCACCCCTGCAAGGCTGTAGTGTCCAACTCAACACACGACACAATACGGACGCACCACACAGACGTGGCAATTCTCGCACACTTTGTTCGGATCAGCATGTGACCCCCCCTGGTACCTAGCCCGCTCGCACGCACAGGTCTTAACTTGCCTGCGGGTTCACGGGAGCCGCCACAGTAGTTATAGATCTGTACATCTGGACCCAAGACAGATATCATTGAGCCCACTGGCCGCTTCAGGAGGAAGTCACCGTGTAGCTGCATCTAATTGGCATTCGTCCAAGGCTTCGTCTTATTGGCATTGGCCTCCCTGATGTCGGGAAGAGATACTGGTGTAACTGACGGTATAGAAAGAGCAATTGTCGCCAAGGTGAGGTCAGACAAGGCCGCCATCACTGTGTGATGTTGGAGTGAGGTGGTGAGTTGAGGGAGAAGATCTGAAGGCTGAACTCAAGGCAGGTGATTACCGAACTCCTGTAGTTATTTCTGAAGTAAAGAGAGCAATCAGTTTGTTCTGTACGCTCTGGTTCATTTCTATTTCCATCTGAGTTTGAATTGCTGTTTACCCGTTCATCTCACTGCTTGGTTTCTGTCTGAGCATTGACTGGATTTCCAGCGAATGTCTGTGAGCTTCCGCAGATCAGGTCACTGCATCCATTTCAGTATGTCATAGTTGTGCAGGCCTATGCTTTTTGTTTTTCGTTTTGTGTTCCACAGTCCCAAAGCAGGGATCTTGGGGTGGCTGACCTTTTTTTTAAAACAAAAAAGAAAAGAAAAAAAAAGGAAAAAGTTAAAAAAAAACTCTCCGGTCAGCTATGGGGGTGATATGAGCATCCCCCACCAGCATCGCGGCCGACGGGCTGCTCCAATCTATTGGTGGGGGGCTGCACCTGCTGGAAACTGGGTCCAGTGTCCCAAACACTCAGAAAGCAGTTCAGAGTACAACTCATGAGCGCAGCGGGCTGAGCCCGTCCCCTGCGGCATTGATTGCCCAGCCCTCGCTGGGGATTAACCGTAGGTGACCTTAGCAGCCCTTCCCATTTGTTTCGTGAACTGGGGTCTGTCCCAGACACTTCTATGTAGGCTCTACTGGTTCTGTTTTGTTGTCCCCTTGGCCCCTGTTCCAGGAGGAACAGTCTTTCATTCCCGTAGCTCACACAAGAGTTGTGCAGGGGGGCATTCTACTTTGGATCTCCCGCTGCTCTGTTGTGCCGTTTAAGTAGGCGTTGTGTTAGCGTCATATTTCTCGTCCCTGCTGGGCCACTGGGATGACGGGTAAGGAGCAGGAGGGGGGTGAAGGGGTTGGGGACGGGACGAGGGGATGGGGGCAAGGGAACAGGGGAAAGGGGGGTCTATTGGGGGCGGCGGGGGGGAAGACGGAGATGGGGCTGACGGGAGCGGGGAGGGCAATGGGAAGCTCCCCTGGGCAGTGCTGATGAATATGGAGGGGAGGGTTAGCTTTGTGGGGGCTGTGGGTGGAGGAGGGAGAGATGGAGGCGGGGCAGATGGAAAAGGGGGGGGTTGATAGGCAGCCTAGCTGAGCTTGGCTGGTGGATGCGACAGGCGGGGTAAGTGTACCAGAGCCTTGGGGGGGGTGGAGAAGATGGAGTTCGGGCAGACGGGAGGGGGAGAGGCAATAGGCAAGCCTGCTGACCTTGGGTGAGGGGGTGCGGACAGCGGGGCGGGTGGTTCATCGGGGGTCGGCAGAGACCGCAGGCTTAGCGCCGTTGTTACCAGAGCTCGTCTGTTGTCGCCCGGCAGAGGCGTGGGGAAACATGCTACTGGCCTCTGATGCCAGAGATTTTCCTGTGCCAACCAGTTCTTCCACACCGGTCCGCCATTGCCTTGCACTTCGCACATTGTACAGTTAAGTTCTATCCGCTGCTCCTTGAATGCGCTTGCTGCCGCTTTTCAGGGTCAGTGATGGCAACCAGGCCTCTGACTAACTTACCTGCAGCTTTAGTTGTGGTGGCCCATATGGGCTCCACAATCTCGGTATTTGCTTGGGTGAAGCCGAAAGTGAACTCCTTTCTCTCCGCAGAGCACCTGACCCTCCAAATGGCCATCAGGATAGTCAGCTTGGTGTTTTAAAAGGTTATGCTGAAGGATGTCCAGGCTGGCGGGTAGTCCCTGGGCGTCCCGAGTAAGGTTTGTTGGAAGGGAGTGTCTGAGAGTCTGCGCCACAAGGCATCCCACCACCTCCATATCTGCTAGGTCATTGGGCATACGAGCAGACAGTGCTCCAGATCCGCTCGCCTGCGCTGCAACGACAGGCCGCAGTAGGAGCACAATGGCGACTAGGCTCGAGCGAAGGTCACCCAATCCGCCATTGGGAGCCACCTGTGGATTATCTGCCACTAGAGGGCCCGGTGGGATGTTGACATTGTATGGGCATATGAAGACCAGGGGGTGTCTGCCAAGTCGGAGGGCGGCAGGGGGGGTCCCGCACCCACCTGTTTTGTACCACCGCCGGTCCACCGGTCCACCGGTGTAGAGGGGCAGAGCTTATGGGATTACGTGTACCCTTCCCTTACCGTGTATTGCCAGATGGGGACAGGTTTGTGAGTTGTCCATTCCCATTCAATTGGGATCAAAGGAGAGGGCCTAGTCATGAGAGCTCCACCTGCCACCTTTTTCACTGGTCTGCCCATACAGTGATCCACGCTGTGCTACGGTAGGTCCCTTCTGCATAGAACAAGCCTATTTGGTCACCGTACTTCGTCCGAACACGGGGTGCCCCCTCCCACAAAAAAAAACCTTTCCTGGGAAGAGACTAGGGAAGCACACCTCCTAAACCAGGAACCCAACATGGTACAGTGGGCTGCGCTGCATCAGCCACCTTAGTTGGCAGCCCACTGTTGGACTGTAACGTGCAAAAGTCCTGTAAGTTGCACCAGAGAAGTGAAGCCCCGAATACTTTTCAGAATTCCATAAGGTCACAGTGTGGAGCATAACCCTAAGTTCCTTATCTGTTTTTCAAAAACAAGCGCCTCCTTTCATCACTGTTCGAATATTAAAAATGGTGTGTATTGCTCTGTTAAAGTTGGAACAAGATGTTTGCAAGTTCACATTTCGCGAGTGGCGGAAAGACACCCTTAATTCTCTCTATGGCTCAAATTTTAGCATACATTATACGTGTTATAACCCACAAAAAGACAATTAAAAAGAAAGAAGAACAATGAACCACACCTTTTTCTTGAGAAACAAAAACAAAATTCATGGACTTCCATTACACAAAAGCAGAGAAAGATAACCAGATAGGAGGCGTGTCCCCCCTCCTGTCCTTGGGCCAGTTCACGAGGGCCTCCACGGTAATTACAGATCTGTACATCTGGTTAGATCAGTTGCTCTTGCAATGTTTGGCCGGCAAGTCTGAGAGTCAGTCCCAACACACTGGCGGTGATCCTGTGGGGTTGGTAAGCAGGCGAGAGGGATTGCAGGGCTTATGCAAAGCTAGCGTTTTGGTCGGACCAGCGGGGTGACGATCAACCACTTCTGCGAGCCTACGTGTACGCCCTTGGTCTTTCGCGCGGGTAAGTGTCAGCGAAGTCCGTAGAACAGTCGCACACGTAACTTATTTTCGTTTTCGTATAGAAGTTTCGTTGTTTGTCTTATAAATTTCTGTTTTGTACCTCCCTTGTTGCTCAGTGGATCTGCGTGGTGTGGCGTCTTTCCATGGTCCGAAGTGACCGTAGGGAACGACACACCTGTTGCTCTCCGCTCCTGCTTTTCTCAAAATCTGTATGCGTCCCGTTGTCTCTTGCTTCTTCTCTTCGCCTTTCTCCTCCTATAACTCTCGGAACGGATACACGGATATTCCAATCCCAACCTAGAACGCCAGCCCCCATATTTCCTAAAATCCTTGGCACACCTCTTTCATCACATTTTCCTGGGAATACAACTTAGTACGTACTTCGACCGGAAAGCAGTGTTGGGTGGAGGTTTGCCCGTCGTCACAACACCCTGGCTGAGAAGGGCGCGTCCTGTCAAACGTGTTGCTCAGTTGGTTAGAGCTCTGGCGGTGTAATTGGGAGGTGGAAAAAAAACAAAAAAAAAAAAACAATTGGGAGGTGGGTGGATTCGACCTCTCCTACCCTTGCTCAGCTGGTTGCAGTTTGACACGCCACGTACTCGCCCCCCAGCCTAGCGCAGTGCACATGCATATAAGCTGCTACAGACATGGGATAGGCAGCGGAGCAGAGGATGCGGAGGGGTGTAGTGTGGGGTAGGTTACTTCATGCCATACTCTGGCTATTTGATGGCAAGGGGCCCGGCAGGACGAGTGACCAGGGAGTGTAGGTTGGAGTTGGGTTCGTGGTGAGGATCGGTTACTGAACGACGTAACCTCATCTCTAGGGGAGGGCTGAGTGGGCCGAGAGAAGGGGGCTGGAGGTGGGGGGATTAGCGTGCTCTTGCGTACATATGATACCACGGACACGGGATGGCAAGTTGTCTACGGTAGTGATGGGAATTCGTTACGGAACGGACTACGGTAGTTTGGCTCTTCGGGCAAGCGGCTAGGCGAGATGAGAGAAGGGGGGGGGATTATATGTGGAATTGGGATAGCGGTGAGGATCGGTTGCTGAACAGTATAAAACCTGGCACGCTGGGCCCGGTTCCCAGCACGCGCTGCTCCCCACGAATGAGATCGGAGCTTTTCCAAAATTAAAAAATTAAAAAAAAGAGAAGGGGGGAGGGAGAGAGAGTGAGAAAGGCGATACGGTGTCGTCCTGACCACTGACTGACCTCGGCTATGGCGTCGACAACATTACATGCAACGTTGTCTTTTCCACGTGTCAAATGGGCAGCTGTCCTGGATAAGGGATGGCAGAAAGGCGTAGATGATGTCGATCCTGATGGGCTCGTGATTGGTAGAAAAAAGAAACCAGATAACGTTAGATTGCAAATCCATCAACATCTCACACGTGGCACGAGGTCGTCGCTTTCGTGTGATGACAGAAAGGCCTTCACTTCGACTCAGGTAACCTGGGAGGAAGCCACACGCGGCATCTCCTTCTCTTGGCTATGGGTGAATGGGGAAGATCACATCACCTGTAGAACGTGCAGGGGCACATGGAGGAGGAGAAGGAGGAGGAGGAGTAGAAAGGGCTCGAGAGACCTTACGAGTAAGATTCCTGATTACGATGTGCTGAACATCAACGGTTGCTGTTATCACCAAAAACTAATTAACGTCCTAGCGCAGTCCTGTGAGCGGTGGCAGGAATGCAGACACCAACCTCCTAACGATGCAGCTTTCATGAAATGTGGTAGTATAAATCAGGTCAGTTTGGGAAAGGGAAGCAGAACCAACGGCCCAGATCGACGTGGAAAAGTCCTCCGTCGATGTGCTAGTGCATCGGATTGGGCGGGAGATGAAGAGGACGGGCAGTTAGCAGATCATCTTCATCATTGGGGGTGGCAGGTACAGTACACTGACGAGGAGCGCGGGGCACCAGGAGAACAAGACAATGCGCACGAGAGTTATGCTATTTCCTCGTCGTCGGCATACCAAAAGCATGGGGAGAACGAGCGTGAAAGGAGGAGGAGGAGGAGGAGGCATCCCGACAGTCCGAGCGTTGTGTGCAACCAGCCTCCAAGGGGAACAGAAGAATGGCCAGAAGAGGCGGCGGGTTATGACGATGGCGATGATGGTAGCGGCCCTGATGAGGCGTATGTTGATGGATTGGATGCCGATGATGTGGAAATAGGTTTGGAGGAAGATGAAGATCGTGATGCTGGTGATGGGGCGAATGTGTGCGGTGAAGATGACATGACAGCGGATATGAACGAGGGGGATCCAGAAGATGGGTCAGGTCTTCCCGCCAAAACTCCCCACATGGAGACCAACCTTGAGGAGGAGGAAACCGACAAAAAAGTAGATGACAGCGACCCTGACGAGAATGGATCAAGCCTTCCCGCGAAAACTCCCGAGATGGGCAAAGAGGTTGAGGACGAGGAGGAAAACGACAAAGGAGATGGCAACGGCGACGAAGAGAAAGAGCAGATTGGTGTGAAAGCAGCAGTCACATTATTGAGATTTTATAAGAGGGAGATATCTCCTTGGATCCCTGGGAGTTGTCGGTACGTGCCAACGTGTTCCGAGTATGCCATCGAGGCATATACACGGTACGGCTTGGCCAAGGGGACTGTATTGACAGCATGCAGAATTTGCCGCTGCAATCCTTTGGGTGGCAGTGGCTTCGATCCTCCCCGATGGTTCGGCGAATCCAAACTACAGCCTCCTCCTCCTCCTCCTTCTCCTCCACCTCCTCCTCCATCTCGCTTGTAAAACTGTGAGCTTACTTAATCGAACAGTTTTTGGTTGGCTTAGGTGGTGCGAGGGAGAAGTTGCACGGGGGTACTCGTCGTAATTGCCCTGGCAGGGATGGGCTCATTATGAGATTCTCTAGGAATTAGCAACCAATTAATTGATCGATCAATCAATTAATCAAAAAAAATTAAAAAAAAATAAAGGAAGGGGGGGTGGGTGGGATGAAAGAAGGGGGGATTGCAGGCGGGGAAAGCCTGATTCTGAGGTGATTGATGGTTATCAAATAACAAACCAAGGGTACATATGCAGACAGAACAACAGCGACAGTTGTCCTGACCTCAGGGCGAGGGTGTAGGATGACTAACTATGAAAGAGAGGAGTGATTGAGCCAGAATTGAAAAGGACCTTAAGAGATCAAGGGATGACTGGCAGTGAGAAGAGCTGAAGAAGAAAAAAATAGCAACAATGAGATCAACAGAACATGGCCGAGTGCCGAAGGTGATTGTCATATGTCCAGAATCCAACCTGTACAACAACCTGGGCAGAAGACAGCCCCAGCCTCGCAAGATGTCTTCCTAGCATATTCCAATTCCAAATTTCGGAGGCGTCCTTCGGGACATCCGTCAAATTGGAACGATACAGAGAAAGAAGATTAGCATGGCCCCTGCGCAAGGATGACACGCATAAATCGAGAAATGGTCCAAATTATGATTAAAAAAATATTTAAAAAATCGGAGGCGTGCCAGCGGCGGCTCGGCAAATTTTGGTGCGGCGCCACCAGGCTCGGGTGTAATGGTGGTTTAAGGTCTGCTGACAGGCCTGTATAGAAGACGTTTACACCTAGCATCTCCAGTGCCTGTACGGCAGGGCTCGTTCGAACATGCTTCAACCAGAGGGCTGAAAGCGATACTCTCCTGAATATCTGGTGACTGCAACTGTTGTCCAGTCAGGTCACCCCACCAAGAAACGATAGAGGGGTGGGGGGTGGGGAGAGGGAAGTGGGGGTGGGGAGAGGGGAGTGCGCCAAGGACAACTGACGAAAGGGAGGTGTGCTGGGTCGTGTGAAGGGGAACACCCAATTGTTAAAAAAGAAAGGGGGAAAAAAAAAAAGGACAAGATTGAATTACATCAGCCTGTTGGCCCAATGATATCTGCCAAGGGCATTCCTTTCTTTTTTCCGTTTTTATTTTTTTCTTACATGCAAACGAGATTGGGCCAGGAAACCCACAAACATGCCAGAAATGAAAGGAGGCATCTAAATGTGGGGCCTGCAATAGACACTGGACTCGTTTGCGACTCGAGTCACCTGGCATACTGATCCATTAGAAAGAAAGAGAAGGGTTTTTTTTTTTTTTTTTTGGGGACAAATGCTCCAGTCTGTTCGTGGGGAGCAACACGTGCTGGGAACCGGGCCCAGCGTCCCATATAGAATTATACAAGTCATTTGAAAAACCAGGGCCATTACCTGGCTTCGGCTAAGAACAATCTCAGAACTATTAAAGGAGTTCGGGAAAATTTAGGAAAAACATGGATAACTGCTGACCAATTGCTAGGCTACTCAAGCAGCAATTACTGAACTTTTTTTTTTTTTTAATTGCTGAACTTATATCTACAACAACAGTAATAATCTTCTTTTCTTTACCTTTTGGACGAACATGTAAAATCTTACATGCCTCTAATTTCAGAGCAGTCCCATTGGCTTGTCAAGGCTCGGCTGCAATTTGGGGCGCATCTTGTATGTTTTATCTACAATCTTCTTTTCTTTTCGTCAGGAACATGTTTCAGCTAAAAAACATTGTCTTTGTGATGGCTTCATTCTGGTTGTAGTAAGCAACACATTCTGGCGCCCACCGTAGACATGGGAGCGATTTGGCCTAGCAACCGGAGCCAATGCCCCTTACACACCTGAAAGGTCATGGTTGCTCTTCCGGTCTATAAGTGTATGTATCTCATCTTGGCCCTCTTGAATTACAGCTGGTTTTGTAAAATTCCGTGGACGGCAGGATTCGAACCTGCGCGGGCAGAGCCCACATGATTTCTAGTCATGCCCGATAACCACTCCGGCACGTCCACTACATTGTCACTTCTGCGGCCAATCATTTATAACAAGAAAGCACACATACCACTCTGCGGCAGGCCCACCTCAAGCCCACTTCATGGATGAATCATGCTTGAGTTGCTTCAGGTAGGTGGTGGTTTCAATCCCCTCCATACTCACTCGGAGCTTGCACTCGCCTCAAGCCCACTTTGAGTTGCATCAGATAGATGATGGGGTCAGTCCCCAGTCCATTTTCTGGGAGATTACAGCCTCTTTGTGGATGTATCATGGTTGAGTTACATCGGACAGGTGAGGGGTTCAATTCCCAATAAACTCACTTGGAGCATGGACTACCTTTTTTTTTTTTTTTTAAGAAAATTCCCAGTAAACTCACTCGGAGCATGGACTATCTTTTTTTTTTTTTTTTTATAAGAAAAGCCCTTGTGCAACACTTCTATCCTGGTGGTGGTAGGAGAACCACCGGAATTGAGGGTTTGCCTGACGGGCTGCTCCATCTATTGGTGGGGCTGTCTCTTATACACATCTAGATGTGTATAAGAGACAGGTATTGGCAGTATCTCATCTGCCTTTGCAGCTCCATGAGCATTTATTGCTGTCTCTCCATGTCGTCTTGTCTCTCTGGCTTCTTTCTGTAGAGGGAATGACTTTCTAGTGGGTCCTCAAAGTTGGCATTTCTTCTGCATTTACTGTGAAAGGAGGTTTTACTTGGAGAAGAAAAAACAACATTCAGGGGAGCTGTGGCGCAGTTCCTTTTCCGAGGGGAAATCGTAAATCGTTATGTACAGGGTGGATGCAGACAGAATCGGTTACTCCTCTGTTTGGCAAGGATAGACTGTCTGCTTTAGCACAATGCCGTCTCTGAAGTGTAAATCATGTGCTGGTCTCCTCGGTCTGTGACGTTGCTCGATTGGAGTTCTGCCAGGGGGCGCATATGACTTGATTTCCTTTGATTGTTGTCTGATGATGAATTCTGTTGTTCGAAGTTTTATCAGTTTCTGAGGCATAATCTTCCTCCATGATAGTAGGAGAGTGGCCTAGTAGGGTTTCAGATTGGGAAATTGCTTGCGATGGGTGTTGATTGCAGCTCTGCATGGGCTCATTTATTGTGCGTCCCTTCTGTGTATCAGATTAGTTGAGCTTGTTCAGAGAGAGTTGTTGTGCATTTCCAGTGTGTGTAAACTTTGCACATGTGGCATGGTCTCGCCTTTTGATGTAAAAACACTCTTATCTGCTTTTGCAATGACAGCAATGACGTTTTGCCAAAGTGGCGGTGTTTTCTGTCCTCATCCTTTGCATCTGTGCTTGGGTTGAATTGCAGATGGCGAATTTATCCATATCCAACTCCTCCTGATCGTGGCATGCTGTCTGCTGCTGAGAAGTCTCTGATGGTTTTGTCAGGACTTACCCCCCGGGCAGGCCTCCTAACTCCTCTTGATCGAGCTATGGCGGTATACCCAATTAGCCCTTGACATTCTCGCATGCTTGTGGCAGCGATGACAGCCTTACGGCACCAGCCTGTGGCCGCTTCAAAAGCTCAATCTAAAGTGGCACAGAAAGTGAAGGTCTGTCTCACGTAAGTTTTGGCTATTGCTGCAGGTCTGAGTCTTGAGAGTCCATTCTTATGGGCCGTCGATAGCGAGGGTGACGGTGAAAAGCGGCGTTTTGAAAGTGGCCTTGAACAGAACCTTTCGGGTGGGCAGGGAGCAGATGGAATGACACAAGGCCAGAAAGGTATTGGGATGACGCTGGAGGCGGGGCAGGCACAGGGTGATGAGAAGAAGGATGGCGATTGGATAGTGCAGCAAGCCAAAGAGAAGAGGAGAACAACGAGGAAAGCGGCAGCTATTGCGCGTGCTCAGTTTTCGAACCGAACAAGTGATGTGCTGACAGTTGTTAATGCTCCGAAAGTATATGAGAAGGCGGAGAAAAGGGAGTTCTGCACGGCAGCTTTCCATCACTTGAAGACAATGAAGGAAATGGTTATGCTCCGTAAGCAGCTTGTGAAGATTGCTGTGCGGCAATGGGAGCAACAGAAGGAAGACGACGATTGCACAGATGCAGCAGTTTGGCTGGATATGCGAGGACCTAGAACTTGAAGGCACATTGGACACAAAGGCGAAGACATCGTCAGGAGAGCAATCTGTGCCGGTTGGGCAGACCGTGTGGCAAGACGTTTACATGTGGGGAAAAATGTGAAGCGTGATTTGAACGGTGGAGAGGAGGAGGCACACAATAGGCGAGGGTACGGTATCAAGCATGTTCCTTAGATGAGACAGCATATTTGCACCCATCATCATCAGTTGCAAAGGAGGCCCCTGATTCGGTAGTGTACAGTGACATCATGGTCACGTCAAGACCGTACGTGAGGGGAGTGACTGCGGTGATTTCAAGATGGCTTGCGACAGAGGCACCGGCAATGTGCACATTTCCGAAGCCACTTGATGATCCTCCGCCATGGTATGCAGCCGAGGAGGACAAGGCCTTTTTTTTTTCTTTTTTTAAGAGGAATGAGGCCGGGGTCCTCACAGTCTGCCCGGACAAGGTCAAGTGTTGGGTGGTCCCAACTTTTGGTCCTCATCTTTGGGAATTACCACCACATGGAATTGAAATGAAGGCAGGGAGGGAGAGAGTGTTTGTGTTTGCCAAGGCATTACTCGAGGGGAAGGTTTTCCCGAGCATGAAAGAGTCAACGAATTGCCTGGTTGCCGATCCTGCGCTGATCCTTAAAAAGGAGGGAGCTGGGCATGTCAGGGTAGGGAAAATCTTATCCGTGATGGGCTGTAGGATTCTGGCAAAAGGAGCAGCAGCGGCAACACACAGAGTGGACAGCTGGTCGAAGCTAATCCAACGGCTATCGAGTGACCCAATGTTCCCGTGTAACAAGTTAGTTTTGTGGGTAAGGGAACATGAATGGGTTACATTGGAGAGAATATGGGAAGAGATCGGATACCACGCACAAGCTTCAGCTGAACCTGGTGGCAGTAACCGGAGGAATGCCAGATCTACAGCATGCTTTGGCAGTTCTAGTAATCAGGCGGTGGATGGCTCTGTTCGGAAGGAAGAATGATAACACACGCTGCAAACAGGATGGCTCTGAACAGGCTCACACAAGCTAATCCAGTGGCCAAAGCTGTACAATGCTGCAACACACATCCACCCAAACAAAAGGTCAAAGGTCAAAAAGGGAAGGACAAAAAGACCTCGGATGACAAACAGAAGGAAGAGGGGGATGAGACTGTGAATCAACTGAGCACAAGAGAAGATCTGGACAGACAGAGAGAAATATTACTGGCCCAGATCACAGTCCTCCAGGACCACAACAGGGAAGGGGAACAGTCAATTTGCAGAGCATGACACTAGGACAAAATGCAGAAATCTTCACAGTAGCTAGACTGGAGGCCAAGAGCGGTTGCAAAAAGAGTGATCATGCCTTACCAATGGAGCCAGCAGCATGGGGACTGTGAAATAGCAGTAAGCAAATCTCGGTCCCTGATAGCCCTCGCAGGCCCCAATGAAAAAGTCCTGGCAGCCAACATCTCCAAGGACCCCCCGATCGCTGCACACATCTTGGGCAAGAGAGCTGACTGGAGAGAAGAGTGGATCGACGACTCAGAGGAAATAGCGTTCAGCGACCTGAGACCATATATGATAAGATACTCAATGGAGGCTCAACTCGCTGATCACTTGGTCTGGAGGCCTTGGAAGGTACTACAGGCTATCCCCTACGGTCTCATAGGAGGTGAAATCCCTCGTGAAAGAGCAACAGTCTCAACATCGATAGCCGAGGGTGATACCCTCTTCGAAGGCAGGGAGGATCACTTGGACCAGGTCTTGGCAGACAGGGCATGTGTGGTCAAGATTCGCCACTCCCACCACTCCAAGTCCCCCGACAACTAAATCAACCCAACACGCAAACGTAGCAGGATCCCCCCAGACATTCCAAGGCAGCACAACAGCCCACACTCACCCAGGTGGAGAACAGGCCAAAGCACCATTCTTGAAATATAAGGAGCCTGAACTCTGTCATGGAACGTCAACGGGCTAGCTACAATCCTGTCCAACACAGACAAATGGGACAACTTGACCGACTATTTAAAATGGTTCTCAAAAAATCCTTCAGACATTGTATGCCTACAAGAAACACACCTCACCGAACCCCCGGAACACAAAACCATAATCAACAAAATTCTTCTAAGACTAAAGTACATACGAGCATGGGCCCCTGCCCCAAGAGCTGGATCTGCAGGTACAGCAGTGCTATGGCACAACAACTCAAGCTAGAGCCAAATCAGAACTAGCCAATTGGGATGCCTGGAAAGCGAACAGGATAAGAGAATGGGAGAAGAGTGAGAGAATGACAAAATTATTATTCTAGAAAATCAAGGCACGTGGAAGGAATTCAACCATCATTCAACTCAGAGGAGGGGACCGCTTAACATCCAACCCAAAGAAGATGCTTTCCATAGCTGAATCCTTCTACAAAGAGCTTTATGCCTCCAAGACAGAATCGCCCATCCCTAGAGCAGTCCTTTAGGCTAAGGAAAAAATAACAAGCACCTAGAAAAAACCATATCACACACCATGGCAGAGGAACTAGACCAACCAATCACAAACGAAGAAATTAAAAAAGCCCTAGATTCCATGAAGCCATGGAAAACACCAGGCATCGACAGACTCTCCAAAGAATTCTAGCAAGCTTACTGGCCACTCTTAGGAGACTAGTACTGCCAATTCATAAGAACAACATGGACCAATGGAAGCCTAGGACCAGCACTTAGCACCGGTATAGTCACACTACTCTACAAGAAGGGCGACCCAGCAGACATCAAGAACGAGAAACCTATCACACTATTTATAGTAGCCTACAAGATCTTGGCAAAACTACTAGACAACAGAATTCGAAAGATCACCAGAAACTGCTTTCACATTGACCAAACAAGATTCATCCCAGGCCGGTTCATCCTAGACAATGTCATGTCCCTAGCAGAATCTGTAAGATACATAAACAAATGAACGCAACAATTCTACTCTTTGGTTTTGAAAAAGCATACGATGAAGGCAACTGGGACTTCCTACAAAAGTGCATGGAAAAAATGGGAGTAGGCCAGTGTTGGACCCCCCAACGGTCGGCGACCCTTGACTGGTCAGCTGCCGACCCGCCGACCGATCAGTTGGTCAGCACCTACCGATCGGGGGTTGTCGGCACCCTGCAATTTATTTTTTTTTATTTTTTTTTTTTGGGGGGGGGGGTCCAAAACCCCTAATAACAGTCAGACAAGGCGACCCCCTGGCATCCCCAATATTTATCTTCATCATGGAAGTCATCGCCTCATTCTGAAGGAAGGACCCATCCATCCACAGACTCGCTGAGCAGACAGAACAAAATAAAAACAAGTATCATATCCCTCCTACAATCTTGTTTGCCGACGACCTAACTGTACTCGTAAGAGCGTCATCTTCATCATTCGAAGCACTCACCAAAGCAATGTATACATTCTAGCTAGCCTCTGAAATGCACATTAATTGGAGCAAGACAATGGGGTGGTGGTTAGCAGAGGATGGCCTTGTCCCACCCCGAAACACACCAAAAGGTCTGACATGGTCAAACCCAGTGTCCTTTTTGAGACTTGATATCCACTCCAACGGGATGACATTTGTCAATTGTTGGACGTTTTGGGTTAGGTTGTGGCGGCCTTTGAGTTTTTCCCTGAGTTGTTTAGCCGACCGCCACTCCTTTTTAGAGTCATCCCAGATGTGTTTGATTTGACATATGCCTCTCTCTACCCAAGTACCCCATGTTGTGTCTTTTGTGGTGAGAGTGAAGGGTGTGACTTCGTTGTTGGCTATCCAAGGGTTACAAAAGAGAGGTTGTATGAGGATTTCTTCCTTGCTGTTTGGTTTCCTTACTTTTGCCGGAAAGATCTCTCCCCACACCTTTAATAGCCTCTTTCAGAAGTTCAGTCTTGGTTCTTTTTGGGACTTGTTCTTTATGGAACATGATTTGCTTAGAATCCAGAATGTACCCTCCATGTTCTCTGGTGTTTTGAAGATCGGAATTTGTTGCAGTCCCTCTAGAGCCAAGGCTCTCCAAGGTAGCTTAGGAATCGTTACTAGCTTTATGATCCACTTGGTTTGGAGAGCCTTTATTTGGATGGCTGGGTCAAGGACGCCTAGGCAATGCACGTACAGGAAGCATGAAGTATCCTCAGGCAAGAGGTGGAAACAGAATACTGGGTCATATGGCGCAAATTCAAGAGAAAGATCAAAGCCAAAGAACTTCAAACCAAATTTGAGGATATTGACCTAGCTAAGGGTAAGATAGCAATCATAAAAGGTCAGGGCCTAATCTTCACAATGTGGAACGACCCAACCGAGATCCACCCATACAGTTTCAAGACCAATTATCGCGCACTGATTCATTAAACCACCAGTACCTTGGCCAGCCAAAAAAAAAAAGCCGCGGCCGTTAACGCACCACGACTTTAGGAGGTCACCTGTCCAAGTACCAGTAAGTCCATCAAATACTACTGAATAAAAAACAAAACAAATACAAAACAGAAAACAGATTAAAAAATAAAAAATAAAAACTAAGCAAATGTCGATAGAAGGGCACGAGAGAGAGAGAGAGAGAGAGAGAGAGAGAGAGAGAGAGAGAGAGAGAGAGAGAGAGAGAGAGAGAGAGAGAGAGAG